CCACCGCCACCGCCACCGCCACCGCCTGCGTCACCACCGCTGCTACCAGCACTCAGCAGGAGCACTTTGACGGCCTGCCATCCTGCGCACTGCTGCCGACGTCTGCGCCGTGGTCGCCGGCGTGCGGCAGGCCGGACTTGTCCAGACTCCGCTCCATGCGCACCATGACGAGGTCGAGTAGCGTCTCGGTCGCCTTGGCAACGTTCTGGCCCGTCGCAGCGCTCGTCTCAAAGTACTGCAACCTGCAAACCAGACAACAAGAACTGCATCTACTAGCTGACAAGACAGCGACCTCCCGTCGTCTCAATATGGATGAGGCAGTAAGGACATGTCTCATTATGGTGGAGACAGCGACCTGTCGTCTCTGTATGCACGAGGCAGGTAGTACGTGTCTCAATACGTATAAAACAATGGCACCCTGTCTCAGCAGGTAGGAGGCAGCGATGGCCTGCCTCAATATGGATGAGACAGCATCTACATGTCTCAGAGTGAATGAGACAGCAAGCATCTGACTCTGTTAGGTTGAGATGGAAAATGCAGATGTCTCAGCATTTACACGACCGTGACCAATCTCAACGTTGACAAATTAGTGACAACATTTCGCAGCATGGTACATAGACTGTGACAGCAACCTACTATCGCATCAATCATCTGAAAAACGAGGCCATTAATGTTTTACGAGAGTAAGTTCATTTGGCGAGCCCATTAATATTTATAGCAACACACGTGCTTATCATCGGATACGGCGCCGACAGCGCAGTGTTAGCACGTATGGATTTTGTTCGGCAAAACCATCGCATCAGCTCAATTTACTCAGTATACGCTGAACAAATATTTTACCTCGTATAGAACAGTTTAACGCCTATGAGGTGATAGAATCACCACCAACAGGATTCTGTTTTGGCATAATTCAGGGGATGCTATTTTTGTCACTGGCCATTGGGGACAATCGCGTTTCTAAATTCTAGTGTGGATGAAACATATTCGAAACATTACTCCCGAGTTTAAAACATTTGAATTAGACTTAGATTCTGAACTAGTACATGTGAATTACCATAAAGAAATACTATCCCGCACATACCCATATCACCCACCCTCCAGGAACCCATCCGACACGTACCCACATCCCCCACCAACCAAGAAACTATCCAGCACGCACCCATATCCCCCACCAACCAGGGAGCCATCTCACACGTACCCACATCCCCCACCCACCAGGGAGCCATCTCATACGTACCCACATCTCCCACCCATCAGGGACCCCTCCCGCACGTACCCACATCTCCCACCAGCAGAGAAACTATACCACACGTACCCATATCGCTCGGCGACCTCCTTGGCCTTCTCCTCGGTGACGGCTCGCTTGTCCTCCAGATCGCACTTGTTGCCACACAGCACGACGTCCGGGTTATCACAGTAGGCATGAGTTCTCAGCTGGTCGAGCCAGTTGCGTATGTTCACCAGCGACTGTTCACTGGTCAGATCGAACAACACGAGGAAGCCCATCGCGTCGCGGAAGAACGCCGTCGTCAGGCTGCGAAACCTGCGCACAGCAACGGAATACGCGACTCGTTTGCAGAGCGTGCACAGTACAGCAGGGCGTTGTTCGGTGACGTAGAGTTATTTCCTCTTCTTTCGAAAACGTTCACTCGTTAAAAAGAACATTAATGTCCCTTTAAATGTAATATGATTACAATAATACATAAATGTATTATTATTATTATTATTATTATTATTATTGTAGTTGTTGTTGTTGTTGTTGTTGTTATCATCACCTATTGATTCTCAGTTATTGAGGAAATAAGTTAGCCCGAATTACCAACAAGCAGGAAATATATGATTGGCTCTATATGAACTAACAACAATTCCCCTGATTCAAACATTTTCTCCCAGATTGGACGACTGTGATAAGAAGTGCATCAGAAACAGTTAAAACTTAACAACAAGTAAACAAGTTACTTAACTAACTGTGACTAGCTAATGCAATGTGAGTGTGCGTGCGTGTGAGTATTGATAAATTAACTGGTAAAACATGCTGACCTTTCTTGGCCTGCCGTGTCCCACAGTTGCAGATGCACTCTCTGACTCCTTCCCGCGAAGCCGTCAGCTCCTGCCGACCTGTGTACCTACATAACATGCAAACCATTACTACTATCGACTCTAGCAGAGCATTAACTAGCGCAATCACTGGGCTACACCGAGAAAGTTCCCTTATGCCCCTAGCGATTCTTTAATGGCGGCTGATGGAAAATATCAAATTCAAGATGTAAAAATCATGAAAGCTTTTAGAATCATCGATCCGCGCCGTACGCCCGGAACGCAAAAGACGAATGTGATTTTATCGGGATAACAGAATGCGTCCATTATTATTCCCGTCTATCCACCAGCACACGTTTCGCGAATGCTCGCCTTAGCTCGCGGCCTTCATGAAATAAATTGAACTGTATCGAATGGTTTGTACGCGGGCATCAACACTTGACGATATTCAGCAGACCGTCTATCAAGGCGCCACGTTATTCATGGCCATTTAGCAATAAAATGGCTTAATTAGAAAGCTGTCTGTGAAACACTCCTGGGCAGCTGATGCAGCAGCCTCTAGCCGCTGCACAAATGACCGATAATTGCTCGAGTAGCGGCTTTTACTGTCTGTCGGCCATGAAATATCGTGTTTACCAGAAAGACGTGTGCAAAAAAAAACACGGCTTGACGAGGGTTGATATGAGATCGATCGTGCGCTGGGACAGGTATGCAATAGAAAACATCGAAACAACTTTTAGATGCGACGATATACCAGAGACATTTATCTCATCTTCCAGTTAGATAAGGGTTATCTATCTTCAGTGTAGATGCTACTTAAGCATAGAAGTTAGATTGCTTCTTTTCCAATGCTTACCTAGTGGATATTAGACATAGCACACCTAGCTAATTTCTGTAGAATGTGCAGAGTGAATTTAAAGGAAGAAAATCGCCATGGTGACTACAACGAATATATAATAAGTTATGATTGGGGAAAAAATCAAATTCCAATTCAGCTCACTTTTCTCCAATAAATGGGGAAAATAATGATGAAAAAGTTAATAAGAAAAGAAATTTGATTTAAAAAGAAAGATTAAAACATTTGATAATCCAGTATTGGATATTAAAATTTAACAAAAATACAATGTACTGCGACTCCTTGCGTATGAGTTGAAAGTGCAACTTATATCCCTTGCAATACGACAATGATACCTGTACAGTAACCCTTTCATTACACCACGTCCTCTAAAATATCTGAAATTGGTGCTTTTAACCATTACGCTTCAACGATTTCCCCTTAGCAGAGTTTTTCCCAGAGTATTAATTTCTTATCTATTATCTCTTACCACTAATAATATGCATTTTAAAATCCCATTAAATGGAACCAAATGTGTGGTTAGGGTAACCAACCATACATGAATGTGTGGTTGTACCCATAACGTTAGTACTCACGCACGTATGCAATGACATTACATAGCGTACGACCTACTGCAAGAGACAGATCAACGCGCCTGGAATGCGACAAGCGATGTGAGCGCGGGGGTGAGGCGGGGTGGCCGCACGCATACAGATACACCGCAAAACTGGCAGCACCTACCACTCGCTTCTCCCGGAAGTCGATGCCGACTGTTGATATGAACTTGGAGTTGAAGACGCCATCTGTGTACTGGTACAGGAAGCTTGTCTTGCCCACACCAGAGTCTCCTAGCGCCAGGAACTTGATGAGGAAGTCGTAGTCTGTCGAATGAAGGTCCTTCGCGTCGCCCATCTTCATACGGTCATCATACTATAAGTCTAGAGAGAAAGAATAGTCAGTGTCAGTCTAGAATCCAGTGGCGCGCTCATACAATATTTATATACAGCCGCTTTCCGACGTTGTTATCGGCCTGCCTCTGCAAATTCTGTGTGAGTCAAAATAGATAAAAAGTTATCCATTTTCGTTATTACTAAATACAGAAACGTACACTTCCCAGTGCTTATTTTATTATTCCATTATTCGCATATCATGTCTTGAAATTAGTCAATATGACTGTGATAGCACATGACAACAAGGAGGCTCAATCAAAAGGATCCTAAATACACGTACATCAATCCGACGAACGTATAATGCGCGCGTACACAATATTTACTCGCACACATGAATAAATAATACCTAGTTTACTAGACGAAACTCAAAACCTGGGCAAATTATATGTCAGCTGCAGTTGACACATGCCAAACAAATTCGTGGTGCACAAAGATAGTTGCACCATTGGAGTAATCGGCTTATTACTCCAAGCTTGCACGTTGCCACTGCACTCACGACAACGAGGCAAATGACAAAAGCATAGAGGATGTTCGAGAAAGTATACACACACTTGAGTTTTTAATGATACATAACGTTGACAATGGATAACTTGTTATGATTATCTATTTTGAATAATACAAAACCTTGAAAGAAAATGCCACTAAAACGCGCAAAAACAGCTGGCTTTTGCATATTATTAACTCATGCGAGTACCTAAAGCATAAATTATTAACATCATCATTACATCATGAATCGTGAATGCATGCACAATCAGGACAGATTCTTTAACGGGGAACACGCAGAATAGGGTTACTGGATAATAACGGTCATGATCATTAGATGCACATGAAATGCTTTGCAAACGACTATAAAAATTCATATAAGAAAACCGCAAACTAGTTGAATTAAAAAAAAAACTTGCAACATTACAGTGTAATCTATCTTTCGCTCTCCTCGTCTCCCGCTTCACAAATTGTATGCTTTATGGCAATTAATGGCGATTTTGTGATATGTGATAGACAGTGTTTCTTAGAAAATGTCACAGGTACACTCATCCACCCGGGCACGCACTCACGCGCAGGTACACGCACGCACGCACGCACGCGCGCGCACGCACATACGAAAAACGATGTCGGCACACTCTATCAGTGCGTATATAGTCAGAGAAAAAAACGATAGCTATAAGTAACCCAAAATGATAAATGTCAGAAACACTCTCGTTATCAAACTTGTCATAATCGGCTGTCCATTATTGACGCGAAGTACGGCTATACAGCTTTCTCCGTCACGAAGAAAAAAACGCACGCACACACACACACACACACCTGTCAGGAGTGCGCGAAATTCACATATGCGCCACGCAACCGACGGAGGCATTGATCTTCGTAGATGATCGCTCGCCACGGACGCAGACGGTCGTACGCCCGCGGGAGCCGTCAACGACATTTTATCACCCTCGCCAGCAGCAGCAGCAGCACACGCGCACATACACAAACAGCTTCTCGCATCATGTCCTGTCCACCCAGTACATGCAGTTGCGCGCCCGTATACACGAAATCAGCATGCGTTAGCAACGATAGAGATCAGTGTGTGCACTCGGCAGACGCTCGAACTGGCTGGCTCTCAAATGGCCGCAGTGAAGCCTGCTTTAATACGCTATGCTAAAGATTTATTGTAGGTGAATTATTTAACACATACATATATTCGTGTGTCTTGACAGTACAGTTTGCATTGAATCTTGCAGACGTCGTGAATATAGGTGTGGCGCCGCGCCGGGAGTGTGGCTTGATAGCGGGAACTTGTATTTCGCAATTATTCACTAAATCCTTATTTATCCTAATTAATCGAATTAAATCCTAATTATTATATGACAAAACTAATCATGATCAACAAAGTGCATATGGTACGGAAACCGAAAAAACACGGGAACTTTCGGGAAACGCGAGAGCGAATAGAAAATATAAAAGCAACAGCTATTGATGCGTTAACTGTGTTTCCACCGGGAAAAAGAGGCCAACACGACCGGTATATAACGTTAATTAATTAAGAAATTAGAAGAACAACTCTGCCAGCGACCAATATCGCAAAGCTCGCGTGCTTCACTCGCCACACATAACCCAGCTTACTTCACGGTGCTGGTTCCCCAGCGCGGGATTGACCTTATAGCCAGAAAACAGTTGATAAATATTGAACAGACGCGCCAAGTCTCCACATTTTGCTGCATCCCCGATAAATACTCAAACGTACGAAGATCTACTAGCGTGAAACAAGAGCTATTCCGACTGAAAATATGGGTACCACATGCGTCTCAATATTACACGAACTTGGCCGAATTTCTACATATTAGGAATGGACAACATGCCAGAGCCGTCAGGACGTTATCACGGGAAATATAATAATATAGGCAGTTACGGGGATATGCAATGAAAGCTAAATTCACCATGACTTGCTAAACTCAGAAGGCGCGGGATGGAATCACGCGTACATGTCTGGGCTTGCACAGCAAATGAAACAACCACGTAGTAGTTCCCTTGCAATGTTGTCTCAAACATGATAGCCCTGTCTTACCTACACGATGCTACCCCCCCCCACCCAAAAAAAACCACCTTAGGAATCTACGTATAGATAGATTCATATCAGTGCAGCTTGCGACGTCAACTCCGACTATCACGTACACCTCTCCCTAACTCTTTCACGGACAGATATGCGTTTACTTGCTATCTTTCTATAGGCAACGTGTACTAACTGTACAGAAATCATATACTGCGCTTTAAAATATGTGCATATATACATTCTGAATGGCCACTGGTTAGGAATAACGTTAGAATTCTCATGTCGCCAACACATGGCGTTTTTGTCAATTCTACAGCGTCACGTAAGTGGAAGCATGTTTGATGCACTTTCCCTGAATACAGGAAATGGATTCAAAGTAACAGCATTTCGAGAAATTCATTTAATTAGTCGACAGAACATTTCTCGGAAACATTAACGTTCCCAGAAATGCATACATGATTAAAAGCCCCGTTGCAACGTTGGGCTAAACCTTTAAAATGCCATCATGAATTCAATTCACGCTCGCCTACTCTTTCTGACTCCATCTCTCCAACACACCCTCCCTCCCTTCCTCTCCTCTCTCCACGAATCACTTACACGAGTTAAGAAGAAAAACGATAAATGAATATAAATTAAATTTAAATTTAAAATAGAAATGTTTTGCAGATTCATTGAAGAATTTTAAAGCACATGAGAGTCGTTTCGTGGTGGGGTCGAGGCTGCATAGGAACCAAGAAATCAATAAATCTGTAGGTAGCATGCTGGCTGTAATACGCGTTATAAAGCACTTGGCTAGCACTCCCCCCCCCCACACATAACACGACGCGTGGTCTGTTGTGTGTGCACTTAATTGGCAACCATGTAACGGCAAATGGCAGGCCTTTAGCATCATTCCTTCTTTAGATCGGCGTGCGTGCATCTTTTCTACTACCTAATTGGGATTAGACATGAACATCATGTTCCTGTCTGATCGCAATTAGGCCATTTGCCGCACGCCTATAATAAGACTCGTTAGTAACCGCATGAGAGCACTCAGCGTTTACATTTACCCAGGGTACATCCTCCTGCATCACACACACACAGGCAAGCGCCGCGGCAACGCGCTGCGTTAGGTACCTGCTACACCCCACGGCCCACACACACTGGATGTCATTATCAACCTGTTATTATAATTATGTCCCGCAGTCAGCGATGTATATTAGCTGGTACCACGAGTCTGTTTATATCGATAATAAAAGAAACTATCTCAAAGATCTGAAGACCCACATAAAGTGACGCTAGCGCACAGAAAAGCCGTGGGGAGATAGCTCCCTGCTTTGTGTTGGTATTGACGTCGTAACGCAGACTGATGCTGCTGAACTACAAATAAACATGCACGTGCAACTGTGAATGTATGTTTTAGAAAACATATTCTATACATATACATTCTAATACACATATTCATCGTACAGCCATAGCATGCTACACCCGGCTACCTGAAACCAACGCGAAGAGTAATGAACGGAGTGAGCTCGACGACACCCATTCAATTGAGATTCGACCGCCAATCATCATGTATGAACGAACATTAATTATTCATGCTGCCGAAAATGGGAACAAACGCGATGACGATCGAGGCGATCAATCGGCCATTGAATTATTTATAAATACAAGATTACATTGAATTCTTTATCAATACAAAATTACAATAAGCGATCCAGACACTGAGCAGCCTCTGACCGTCTTCTCCCGAGGGCAAAGTTGTCATACTCGGTGCATTCGACATAAACGAAAACGAGAAGCCATTAGCATAGAAGCCTCTAAATTATATTAAAAAAAACAACATATATATACTGACCATGCTTTGCTGGCTACTGCGCTGGCTATAATTCCCCCTCCACCCCAACACTCAGCACGCGCGTGGAACAGGCTCGGAATGATGCAGCGAGTCTGACGGTGTGGCATAGTATACATCCCCCTTATGGAAAACGACCCCTCCCCCTATATACACGCGCATGGGCAATAAAGGTAAAATCCGAATCACAGTTACGACGCGCCCTGCTAGACATGCCCATGCCCATCCGTATCGTAGAGGGGGAGATTTACCATAAGGGGGGTGTATGCCATGCTGCACCCGCACAGCCAGTCTCCGCCGACTGTTTTGCTTATCATCTCTGGACTTTCGATTTTCTAGTGCGTTGGCGGATTTATTATGGTACCGACCGGGGAAATTCTGTTGACATAACTTAGATCGCGTATAGTTATCTTTGCAAGTCGATCCGACTCGTAATTTTCCGTCGATGCTGCGCAGCTGATGCCAAGCGGGAGAAGTGCTTCAGTAATGCACATAAACCGTAATGTAGATTCTAGCTTACGAAATTATACTATATTGTTTTACTGTGTGTATTGCGAATGAGCAGGTATCAGTCGTCTCAATCGCAGCTCATTTGAAATTAATATTTGGTATTAATTTTCAAAACTACGCACACACACGACGTATATACACCTCTTTATGAATCAACTCTTGATAATATGTGTAGATCACTACTAAATTAAAGATATTTTTTTGTAAATTCTTCCTTAACGTAAAAAGTGTATACCTCAATTGCGCTGAATTGCCTATTTTTACCGCATCTATTTTTGTGATTACATCTTCCAATATTCCATATCACTGTTCACTGTTACATACATTTCTGTAATCAAGTAACCAACTGCGCCCTGTCACAGTTAAAGCAACTGAAAATATTCAAGGCGGGGTCGACGGCACACACTACATGCAATTGAACTAAAGAGGATGTGCAATCTTAGACACCCTGGTGACACACAACCTGTTATATTATATACTACTATATATATATATTCAAGAGCAGATAAAGAAGGAGAGCGTACAAGGGTAAAATGCTGAAACCATGCTGCAGTATTAATCGAATTAATAAACTTTTCCCGTTTTATTTTGACGATCCTTTGCAGTATTATTGATTAGCTGTCTTACCTTGTTCATATAAAACAAACCGCATGTCCCTACGATGCCCCTACGCTGAGATAATGAGCGGTGAAAATCTGGTATTTTCACCGAAACCCGACTCGAGATCAGTGTTTACTGCGTCCCTCACTCGAAGTGTTTCCAGTGTGTTGCTTCCGGTCGCCGCTGTGTAGCGCCATAGTGGCGCTGACTCACGTAATACTACCAGAGTTTACTATACATCCAGCGTGAGGTGGGCGTGAGGTGGGCACAGGTGGGGGTCATCACTATGGCAATCAATAACAGACGTCATTCGGGACACGCGAGGTTTCCCGAAGTTATAACACTTCGAGTGAGGGACGCAGTAAACACTGATCTCGAGTCGGGTCTCGGTGAAAATACCAGATTTTCACCGCTCATTATCTCAGCGTAGGGGCATCGTAGGGACATGCGGTTTGTTTTATATGAACAAGGTAAGACAGCTAATCAATAATACTGCAAAGGATCGTCAAAATAAAACGGGGAAAGTTTATTAATTCGACTAATACTGCAGCATGGTTTCAGCATTTTACCCTTGTACGCTCTCCTTCTTTATACGCTCTTGATATATTACTGTTACTACTACTTATATACTACTGTATATTATATACTACTATTATTATGGCTCGAGGAAGTGTTTACTTCTATTGTATCAGCTTAGCACAAGACATCAGTAAATCTAATCAATATTTTATATTCAAGTTATAAACGATTTTACGTGAGGTAAGCGGGAATACATGTAATACCTTCCACGTTGAAGCTTTTAATAAACGCAATCAACAATCCATCACGGACACTGTCACACATATATATATATATGTCCCCGGCAAAATTCATTTCGCGGTCTAGTACACTGGACATAATTGCACAAGCCACTATAGATGATTACTAACCTTTACCAGGAGCTCACGTGTTTTTCTGGGAAGCCAGCCAGGTTCAACACATTTCGGGAAGGTTAACGAGCAACTCACACAGTCAACCAGTCTCTCTCTTCACAGTTTAGGTGAGCGTTGTCATGATATAATTGTCGCCTGGCTACCAGGGTAATTGAGAATCAATGCAGCTAACGTCTGCCGTGACCTCCACACTCCAACACACGCACGCGGTTTAAACACACGGATACATGAGGACACGCCACCGAGTGCACTATCAACGCTCACAGCCTTACAACCTATGTATGCGTCACGACTAAGAGCAAATATCTAGGTTCACATCCTTAGCTATACTGCCCCGGTGGTCTGTGCAGGGACGCGTGTACGCACGCGCGCAGTAGGTGCATACAGTAACCCCTCGTAAACAGGAGATGCAGAAGGAAGTGGGATAGGAGCTCCACGAAAGATACACCTCATTAGAACTAGTGCGGGCGCTGTACGCAATTCAATGAGGACAAACAAACGTCGGCCTTAAACGCACGGCAAGTATTTACCTTAGAAGTATATCTGGATTCGTTACATCCGTCCGTTCTAGCGGAGAAGAACTGCACTCAAGCGTACAGTGTACAGAACGCTCCCGCAATTTCGGTGAGTGATGCGGTTTCAATCAGTACAGAATCAGTGCGGTCAGGCGAGTTCCCATTATGTTCAGCAAGAAGCTCGAACAATCTTCAAGTAGACTTGAGAACAAGATCCATACACACACGCGCGCACACACACACGCACGCACGCACGCACGCACGCACACGCATATATATATATATATATATATATGCGCATGTACGAAAGCTATATCGAGTTTGCTATTTTGATTAGTACTTACGCAATTAACACGCGTAATCACAGAGGTGACACATTCGCTATTATGCAACCCTGCAGCATCATTCACACTGAATGTGCCAACTACTAATTACAAATTCATTTTCGCAAAAACCCGGACTTCCTGCCATCGCATTCATGTAATTTTGCTCCCACTTAATCTATACGGCATTATGTTCCATCACGTCATTAAATAGTAAGCAATTTTCATCAACACAAATGCTTTGCGCGCGCGCGTGTGTGTGTGCGTGCGTGCGTGCGTGCGTGCGTGCGTGCGTGCGTGCGTGCGTGCGTGTGTTTGTGCGTGAGCGGGCGCGCGCGCGCGCGCGCGTGTGTGTGTGTGTGTGTGTGTGTGTGTGTGTGCGTGCGTGCGTGCGTGCGCGCGCGCGCGCGCGCGCGTGTGTGTGTGTGTGTGTGTGTGTGTGTGTGTGTGTGTGTGTGTGTTTGTGTGTCACTGTGTGTGTGTGTGTGCTCGCTAATGACACAACACTGTGCACTTAACTCAATATTAGCTCGAGGAAATTACGGTAGTTAGCAGCAGCAGTGCTATCTAAGACAATCGGGCCACTATAATCAGCAGGCGCCGTTTCCATTATTTAAACCTCTTATATAACTGTTATATTAACCGTATACACAGCTGATGTCCGCATGATGACGCTGATGACGCCAGCGCGATGACGACAGTGCGATGACGTCAGTGCAAGACAAAACACACTAGCTATGTATTACGCATAGCGTATGGAGTCTCGTGTTTTTTTAACACGTTTTATCCCCTTTTCTACTCACTTCGCCTTCTTCGCCGTCTTCTATACCCTCTCCCACCTCCAGCTTCCCCCATCCTTTACCCTCCTCCTCGTACACCTTCCCCGTCGATCGAATCACACCCTCCGATCATCTAATCACTTCACATTGTTCTCCTCCTTTACCTTAGCCATTCATCTACCTTCTCCAATCCTCTACCTCTTCAAATCCTCTACAAAAATCCAAACAACCAAAAAACGAACCAATAAAATCATGTAACAAACATCTGCCCTTGTCTCCACATGTCTGCTTCGGTTTGGCACCAGCACAGCTGCACGGTCACCTAGGCTCGCACGACACAGCGCGCACGGCAAGTGACAGGATGAACATGGGAAAATATCCTGCTGCCACCATGCACCACTGCGAGGCACAGGTGATAATAGGGCGTGTAACACTTACTCGCATATCCCACCACACGGCCTATACATCTGATCATCACATTACACGTACAGCACGGCACGCGCATATATATCAGCAACGCACGGAGTGGCAGATAGATGGAGGATTTCCCCTCACACTATATAGTCTTCCCATCGAGTCCAGAACAATCACGGATTTGTTCAGTTTTTCCTCGCCGCCGAAAACATTCCTACGTCCGAATATTCGCCATCAATGTACATGATTGATGCTATATAAAGATAACCGAAATCCAATTCGGGGGATAACTTAGTCTGTTATTCTGCACGTCTTTTGATGAAAGTTTCCATAAAATGTTGATTGAACCGACCTAGTCAGACCACCACAACAGACGTAGTCAGTCCAAAATGTCACAGACAGATTCCATGGCTAAATATGACACATACTGGTACTAATGTGCACGGGACATATAGACAGTTAATATTACTCGATTCGAACTTTGGTCTGTATTTATGATGAATAAACATCCATGAACGTGTGCGGTATTGCAGTTTCGGTTTGTTGTGAGATTTATCAGACGGATTGCAGGCACGCCTGATAACGTCGTATATATCGCGGACGTTTAATCTGAGCGTTTACCATCTACGGTGTTTTTAACAACAATGCCACAAAAACATCTAAAACCACAAAAGTATTCCCAGAGTCGATTCATGATCAAATTTATAAGCACCCCTGATCGGGGTTCTCGTTCGGCTAGAGTCCCTAAGCCTCTAATAACACGTAAAGGTGAATTACTCTTTCCTTAAAATGCGTCGCGTATAGGGACTGTGCTGTTACATCATGAGCCCGGCTGCTCGACCACACAGACTAAACGTCATTATATCGCCCCCACGCTCCGCGGGATCGGCCACTTGAGACGGCGTTATACGTAACAGATACGTATCAGATACGTAACAAATACGTATCAGATACGTAACAGATCGCCGCTTTCGGCGCGCTCGCTGACCAGCTATATATATATATATATATATACATATAGCTGGTATAATAATACATAATAGCTGGTCAGCGAGCGCGCCGAAAGCGGCGATCTGTTACGTATCTGATACGTATCTGTTACGTATAACGCCGTCTCAAGTGGCCGATCCCGCGGAGCGTGGGGGCGATATAATGACGTTTAGTCTGTGTGGTCGAGCAGCCGGGCTCATGATGTAACAGCACAGTCCCTATACGCGACGCATTTTAAGGAAAGAGTAATTCACCTTTACGTGTTATTAGAGGCTTTTACGCAATATATATATATATATATTAGAGGCTTATATATATATATATATATATATAATAATAATATATGCTGCTCGATGGGCTGATGAGGCAGCGCTGCACGCGCTCGCCCCCCGCTCTCCAACGAAAACTCCAGCTAAGTAACTAACTCTCGCAAGTAGTTAATTAATGCATGGTTAATTAGCTAATCAGCTCATGATCAGCACGCGAGAGCTCTTATTCGGTGCTCACGGTAACGCCATCTCTCGAGAGCGATATTTTAGACCAGATGGATAAAGAACAGCCTCTCGTAAGAGTGTAAAGATGAACGCGAACAACACGTGACCGCAATGCGAATGACACGTGATGCTGATACAAGAAGACTGAAACGCTACGGGCGTTTTCAACACCTTATACCCTATCACCCTTACACCTTATTACCCGATGCCTTCACTATCGCTCTCTGCGCCCTCGCTGCTGCTGCACGCTCTGTCCACGCGGCGTGGCGTTTACCGCGTCAAGCTTCATGCGCCTTGTTTAACACGCACGCGCGTGCATCCTGCCGAGCCGACAATTCCCGGATGTACGGGGGCGGTTTACGATGAGCCGTACGCCACACTTGCCTGCTGCAGCGCTCGCTGCTCGACGCGGCAATGCGCTCTAATGCGCTTGCATTAAAAAAGGCTTTAACTCGATGACTTGAAGTCCCCGAGGCACGGCAGAAGGCACGAGAACGCCAGACGTCGGCGCGTAAAAGCCTCGCTCCTTGCACGACACCAGCTCGCGGCACCACAGCACGTGTACGCGCCGCTCCACTATTGACTAAGAAGATGCATGGCAGCGTTGTTCGCGCTCGTCATCATCATCAGTCATCATCATCATCGTCGTCGTCGTCACCGTCGGTGACACATGCGCGGAAAATCAATCATGCGAAAGTCATAGTGTAGCGGCGCGACCAGATGCGCTGGTTGTGGTGGCGATGATGGCGTGAACACGCTACGGTCGCTGAATCGAAGATGAACAGATGATCGATAGGCGACGTCGCCCAATAAACATACGCAGAGCTACACACAACGTGCCATGCTGCATTATGCGAGTCAACACCTAGCTATAACAAACCCTCGCCTTTCTATATAACAGTATAACTATAACACTATAATATATAATATACTATAACTATAACAGGCTCTGAGTCTCTACTTAGTGTACTAGCTATAAATCCTAGCTCTAACACGCACTATCCTAGCTATGACAAGAACCACCCTACCCAAAAACAGCCACTATCCTACCTATAACAAGCATTGCACTATCATATAATAGGCTCTACATTACCTATAACAGGCACTATACACTACCTAGCTAGAACACACTACCTTGCCTATACCCAGCATTACCCTGGCTGCAAGAGGTTAATTCTCGTGCGGAGGTCGGCTTCTTTCGTTAGGAATCTCGGCGGAACCTCGTTAGCAATGCTATACGGCTCAACAATAACTACTGCTGGTAAAAAAGAACCGATACAGTAATGATATCGGCCATTGGTCAAAGCCATACATAGGCGATCACTCTATTTTACTCGCCATGGAACTATATAGCTCAGGGCGTCAAGTGACAAGTGACGCTCAAAAAATATGAAAATAGGAATTTCAGATGTGAAAAAATAGGAGGAAAATAGGAATTTTTGTGAGAAAATATATGTTAAATAGGAATATTTTGAAGGCTTTTTGAAAAAGGGGGTCCCACTAAAAAATAAAGGGCACTTTTATAAAAAAAAAAGGCGCCGAAGGCAGCTTATGCGACGTGTCTAAGGCACGTTGCCACTTAGGTGGGAGGGGGGACCTCCCCCAAGAAAAATTTTAAAAATTGGTGCATTCGGAGAGCATCTGAGCAGTAATTTTGATGTCTAGAATGCAAGATGGAATTCCAAATTTTTAAGCAGAAAAGGATCTTTTGTGTTTTCCCTTTTTTGGGGTAAAAAAG